TGTGACTGAGGGTAAGCTTTGTGTATGTGAAAACATATGTTAAAACAATGCATTTATTTTAAAATGGCATGCTGTTAAACAGAGCTTCAACCTGAAATGCTGAAGATTTACTATTAGAATTGCGCACTTTAGAACTGTGTAAGCCGCCTTGAGCCAGTTTGCACTGGCAAGGCGGGATACAAATTGAAGGTAAATAAATAAATAAATATCCCCACTCTGAGACATTTTGTAGTTGATGGTGCCTCCTGTGGCAGTCAATCTGTGGTTGTGCCCACCACCTTGTATCAGAATCTCAAAGGTGCTTGCAGGCTCAAAAAGGCTGGGGACCCCTAGTGTAATTACTAGTTATATAGGTATTGATTAAGCTTTGACACTTGGAAACTTTTAATTAATAATAATGTCATGATGAAGAAAGACAAAACAAGGTCAATTCAGGAGAAACCTGCTGCCATGGGACTTTTGGAAAAGAAATTAACTAGAGTTCCTATGAAAACTGCAATAAGTGTTTGGTTACGTCTCATTGGCATGCTGAAATAGAGTCTAAATCTCTGGGTGTACTTAACATTTATAGAAAACATCAAAGGACAACAGAGGTGTCTTTGGGAATTCAGTGTACAAACTAGGAAACAGGTTAGTTACCTGAAATGCTTTATTATTCAGTCCCATGATAAATAATATAAATAAATGCATTATTATATTTTTATTCCACTCTTCCTACAAGGATCTTGGGGTGGGGCATACTGGAATGGATCCAACCAGTTTTTTTGTGGTGAAAATAGGTGAACAGATCTCCTGTGATCTCCCGACAAAGCTATGCTGGGGATTATGGGGCCTCTATAGACTAAAGCTAGTAGTAAGGAGGAGAATTCTGCAAGCTTGAGCAAAATACCTTGGCTGGATCCAACCTACTGCTCTCCCCTCTCAATTTTATCCTCACAGAGACACTGTCATGCATATTAGGCTGAGAAAGAACCACTGGCACAAGGTCCATCAGAATATTTACTGCTTAACCTCTCCCCAGAAGAGGTGGGTACATCTGAATTAATGAAAGCTTGAGAACTACTTCATATTTATTAATGTTAAGCACCACTGATGTTTTAATTAGCTGAAATATTGGACATGGCCTCGTCCTTCCTAGAGAGAAATAATACCAATATATGAGAAATTAATTCTAATGTTGGCAACTTCCCTTTCCCTTACCACAGCATTTTTATTTTATTTTTTACATTTTGCTTATAAAATTTTTGGTACCTAGGACGGAGTGCTACTGTTCTAGAACAGGAGGCTACTGTTAGGATAGAAAACAGAGAAACATAATGGTTTCCAATTGGCAAAGGTGTCAGACAAGGATGTAGTTTATTTCCCTATCTCTTCAATCTATATGCAGAACATATCATAAGGAAAAATTGATTAGATTTAGATTACGGTGGAGTGAAAATCGGAGGAGGGAACATTAACAGTTTGAGATATGCAGATGACACCATGTTACTGGCAGAAAATAGTGAAGACTTGAAATGATTACTGCTGAAGATTAAAGCACAAAGTGCCAAAGCAGGATTACACTTGAACATCAAGAAGACAAATGTAATGACTACTGAGAAATTGCACAACTTTAAGGTTGACAATGAAGAAACTGAAATTATCCAAGATTTTCTATTCCTAGGCTCCATCATCAACCAAAAGGAAGAAGGCAACCAAGAAACCAGAAAAGCTAGAAAACGCTGAAGGCAGTAGGAAAAGAGAAAGACCCAAGATGAGATAGATTGACTCAATAAAGGTTGTCATCATAGCCCTCAGTTTGCAAGAGCTGAGAATGGGTGTCAAGATAGGAAATTTTGGAAGATGTTAATTCATAGGGTCGCCATAAATCAGAGGCGACTTGATGGCACTTGACACACACACACAGTGTAGACTGATGTTCCTTAGCAAGCAGAGAGCTTCTTTTGCTAATGAACAAAAATGCTTCCTTGCCTGCATGGGGTTGCCATCCCCCAGGTGGGGTCTGGAGCTGTTCTGGAATTACAACTGATCATTAGAGTACAGAGATCAATTCCCCTGCAGAAAATGCCAGCTCTGGAGGATGGATTCTCCTTTACCATCTCCCTAGTGAACTCCCTCCCCTTCTCAAACTCTGCCCTCCCCCAAATCTCCAGGAATTCCCCAGGCCACAGTTGGTAACCTTAGCTACATGTGTGGCACACTCTAGTGGCCGGCACCTCACTTTCACATGTTTGTCCAGAGATGCTGTACTGTCTGAAAAGTGGGAATCGGCTGATGGAGAGAGACTTGGGCTCTTTCCGCGGCTGGCTGGTTGACCTTTACAATACAGTAGCTGAAAAACCCGCACATGCAGTTTCACCAAAAGCACCTTGCAAAACGGTGTCATCCTCTTAATCATACAGAACTTAAAAAAAAAAAGAGAGAGAGAGGTGGCACAGCTGCATTCATGATGCCCCGTTTTCAAAACCAACATGTGCTTTAAATGCTGCTGCGAATCTCATTTAGCACAGCAGAAGGTACGCACTACAGGGAGGGAGGGAGGAGGCCAAGCGGGTTCTATCTGGATTCTGCTAAAACACTGTCCTAATACATTAAAAAGTTAATGCGAAGAGTTAACGCAGCAAGACTAAATACGCAAGGACACTGTAATTTGATAGCTCCTGGTCTCGTGTTCGCCAAATGTAAAGCCACGTCGCCACTCTAAACTACATATCCCACTGGCGTCACTAAAAGCAGGCAATGCGCG